TGGGAGGGAAAATGAAGACCGCATAAACCACACGTCAGATGAGGTAATCTTCCCCGTGGCGTTATTTCTGCTATAATGCACGTTAGGGCAAATTCCTTTTTTCCCCCCTGTACAGTCACAGATCCGTGACTTTATTCCACTGTAGATTTTTTTCCTTTGCATCATTACACATTAGCATACTGCATACTTATTTTTCCTGTGCTTGTGTTATTTTTGTTTTGGGGGGGGGGGGTTAAGGCTGAAAGGCAGTACGCAGTGTACATCTTGGCATTTTCTCTGAAGTTGGCTAGATGTTCCGTTTTCTTGTCAACCTTTGAGAACAAACTGAGGTCAGGATAAAGTAAAAGAGCTGCAGCAGTTCGCAGGAAACTAAATTCTGATGTTTGTGTTAATTGCTGTTGGAAGCAGCCACCAGACTCCATTGACAAAAACAGAAATTTTACTCCTAAAGACACATTTACAATAACGAGTGTTTGTTTGGGTAAGCTGGGATGGTTTGGTTTCTTTGAAGTGGTTTTTGTACAGAAACGCCTGTGGTTCATGGGTGAAAGTAAAAAAAAAAAAAAAAAACAATTTTAAGAAATTCAGGTGTGTGCTGTTTTTAGGTCATTTTCTCTGTTTTACTTTTCCACTGGAAGCTGAAACCATTTTATTTCTGGGCTCCATTGACAAAAGTAGTAATTTTACTATTAAGAACACAGGAGTCGATGGTTTACCGCTGCCTGTTTTCCTTGCACCATGGAATGATTAGAACAGTTTTAAAAGCCTAATTTGAAAGTGAACCCAACGCTAAATGAATACCAGTGGACAGGCAACCATAGGCAAAATAAAAAAGGATATAGTTCTTTGTTATACCAACTGTCTGGTGCTGGAGGAACGGCACTGGACAACAAAGTTGACTTCACATGCACTGTCCCAAGCCTTTTCTCCCAGTTTTGCAGCTTTTGCACCATCACGGCAAGGCCGAAGACATAACTGTACCATCATGTCATCGAATCAGAGACTCACAGATAGATGTTGCAACAATTTGAAAACATTGTTATTGTTGTTACAGTGGTCATCTACCAATCAGCAGACTTGTGTTTAGATTTCCATGTATGCCAAAGTATCCTTAAGCAAGATACTGACCCTCGAGTTGCCTGGGATGCATCTGTCAGAGTGTGAGTGTGTGAATGTTAAAATATATGTTCTTGTATAAATGAGTGTGTGAATGGATGAATAAGGAGTGGAGTGGGGGCCATAAATGGAAACAATAGCCCACTGTACAGAATAAATGCCTTATGTAACACAACATCAAACTAACATCCTCTAAGTCATGGAAACGTATTGATGTATCTTAAAGTCATTTATTGTTGGACTGTGCAGCTGGAGAATTGCTTTATATAATCCAACACCAACTTACACTGTATTGCCAAAAGTATTCACTTATCCATCCACATCAGTAGCTCAATGAATTGCAGCGTGGTACCGTGATAGGATGCCACATGTGAAAAAAGTCCAGTCATGAAATTTCCTCATTACTAGATTTTCCACAGGCCACTATTAGTGGTATAGCAAAGCAACTCAGCCACAAAGTGGTAGGCCATGTAAAATCACAGAGCGGGGTCAGCAGGTGTTCTGGTCGCCAACACTGCAGATCTCCAAATTCATGCGGCCTTCAGATTAGCTTAGAACCGGTGCGTAGAGAGGAATGTGTTTCCATGGCTGAGCAGCTGCAGCCTTACATCACCAAGCACAGCGCAACGCATTGGATGCAGTGGTGTAAAGCATGCTGCCACTGGACTGTAGAGCAGTGGAGACACATTCTCTGGAGTGATCAATCACACTTCTTCGTCCAACATTCCAATGGACGGGTTCAGGTTTGGCGGTTGCCAGGGGAACGGTACTAAACGATATTTGACTGCTTTGTGCAAAGTGTAAAGTTTGTTGGAGGGGGGATTGTGGTGTGGGGTTGTTTTTCAGCAGTTGGGCTCGGCCTCTTAGTTTCAGTGAAAGCAACTCATGCACTAATGCTTCAGCATACCAAGACATTTTAGACAATTTCATGCTCCCAACTTTGTGGGAACAGTTTGAGGATGGCCCCTTCCTGCTCCAACATGACTGCACACCAGTGCACAAAGCAAGGTCCATAAAGACATGGATGGGCGAGTTTGGTGTCGAAGAACTTGACTGGCCTGCACAGAGTCCTGACCTCAACCAGGTAGAACACCTTTGAGATGAATTAGAGTGGAGACTGTGAGCCAGGACTTCTCACCCAACAATGTCTGACCTCACAAATGCGCTTCTGGAAGAACGGTCAAGGATTCTCATAAGCACCCTCCTAAACCTTGTCTTTGAGGAAAGCCTTCCCAAAAGAATTGAATTGTACTGCTATGTAACTCATGGACATGCATTAAAATTGATTGCTGTAAAAGTTGCTGGTAACATTAGCTACCATATAGAAAAGTACAGTTGTTTAGTTTTTTTTGAGAACCAATTATTTCAGCTTTGCTCATTCAGCAGCCCCAACTATCTTTCTCCTCTCACTCCCTCTTTACTTGAGCCATTTCCTTTCAATCACGCAGACAGCACTTCACAGTTGCACCTGTTGCTGTGAAATAGTTTGGGGCTTCATGGGAAATGGATTTGACGAGAGAGAAAATGCTGTCGGTGCTGGTAAGAGGCAGCGTGACCTCGCCTGCCAGTAAAGTAGCCATTCTCCTCTCACTTCCATCTGCAGCTGTTAATGTCGTTGAAAAGAGACCTGCCTGCGACGCTTCTGGGGGACCCGGCTGGCATTAACTGGCTTTACTTAAGCAGCCATTTTATTGAAAAATACATGATATTTCTAAAGTTAACCTCCATTACGCAAGCTAAGCTCTAATTTCTGAAAGCTACTGTGACTGCAGACACGGTCAGGACTCTTCTCCTCTGCGACGTGATTTCACTGGCAGAGGAGAGCGGATAATGATCCCATAAATTGGAACATTATTTTCTATTTGTCCGCTTTTTTCTTAAATTACAGTGTGCTTTTGAGACATTAAAAGCAGCAATAAACAAAAGGCAATTAGGTCAAGAGCGCAAATCCTACAAGGGTGGAACAATTTAACAAAAACAAAAAACAGACAATTAAGAGTGAATTAAACGGGTATAAAGAGATAAATAACAAATCCTGTTTGTTTAAAAATGTCCAGCTAACAGCCTCTACTTTAGTGGCTTTTCTCACTCTTCATCCGAAAGGCCACAAATCTCACTAATTGCACATTTAGCAGCAACAAAAAAAGAAGCCATGTATCATTTGTATATCTGCTGAATGTTGACTCCAGAGTTGGATACCAGTGCCTCATTTTAATAGCTTTAATTGACTTATATAAACAGACGGAGGTAGCTCAGAGCCTTTTGACAGCGCACACCATTTCCATGTCTTTGAAATTGTATTTATCTGTTGTATTGTGGTCTGACAAAGATTTTCATCAATATGAATCCTATATATAAAAGCTTACAAGATTACCAATTGGTTGAGGCAACACTGATTGTCTCAAGGTGCTTTACATTTTAAGGTGGAGACCCTCCAATAACACAGAGAAAACCCCAACAATCAGATGACCCCCTTTGAACAAGCACCTGGCAACAGTGGGAATGAAAAACTCCTTTTTAACTGGAAGAAACCATCAGCAAAACCAGGCTCAGGGAGGGGCAGCTATCTGCCATGACTGGCTGGGGGTGAGGAGGGGGACAGGACAAAGACACACTGTGGAAGAGAGCTAAAGCTTAATAATGACTAATGATTAAATGCAGAGTGGTGTATAAGCGCACACATAAAACCTGATTAATAGACTTGCGAATGTTGTACCATGGAAACCTGGCTTTGTACAATCAGCGTCAAGTACTGTAGTACAAAGCAGCAGTATGGAGGCCTTGACACCCCTAATTTCTTTATATTTTGCTAGGAAAATACGAAATGGGTGCAAGCACATATGCAAAGATACAGGCAAATAGAGCATATAAGGCATATACACCTCTGCAAATATATTTGCAATCAGTGGCTGTCGGGTAACTCTAGCAAAGATTTTTGTTTTTTTGCTACATCTCGACAGCAAATGGCAGCAAGCTGGCTGTGGAAGGTAGAATTCAACAGAAATGCGTAAAACGAAAAGGAAAGTTAGCATAAAGGAGCTCAGAAACTCTTTCGGTTTCATTTCATGGCTTAAAAACTGAATGGACAAATTTAGAGGACTAAGAGTCAAAATTTCTTTATTTCACTTTGTAGCAGCACAAACCAAATAATGTGGGAAGTAATCTTTGTTTCCTGTGTGTCTGGGCTGTTTAGCTTGCAGCGCCAGGAAGCAGGCAAACAGCGGCTGACTATCCTCAGACTTGTCAGCAGTCTAAACTGGACTAAATCTCTGACAGGTGATGAGAGGCAGCGGCAGCAATGCTAAACTGACAAGCTGTCATGCAGTTATTTCCCTGGATATCAGTTTGTTGCCTGCAGGCTTCATCCGCAGGAAATCAGAGTCCCTTTTATTTTGGCGGGGAGAGAAGTCGATCGTCTCTGCTCTGCTTTTGTTTGTGGACAGGAACTTTTGTTTTTTTGTTCCTCCAGTAACTGCCATTTTTATTTTTTTAACGCTTTTATTTTTCATTGGTGTATTGATTCAGAGGCATTCTGGGAGTCCACATAGAAAAGTACCAGAGAAGTGAATTTTTATTATTGAGAAATGTTTTATGACTTCACTTCATTTTATATGTGGAGGCTGTAAAGAAATGTCCTTCCACCAGTTATTGATACACAGCTAAATTATCTTCTTTGTCAGTGACAAGGAAGGAGAGCAACTCTTACACCTCGCAGCCACAGCGGTTGTAAATTTCCTCATTCAAAAGTTTCTTTCATGAGTGTTTGAGACTTCACCTGACAACATGTTTGATAGAGTAATTTATCTTCCCCTGCAAGAGTCAACAATGCTCTTCTTCAAATTAAAAGGAAAGAAATTAAAGAATAACCTCTTTGTCCTCTCCAGGCGCCATCCTGGGACGCTCAGAGACGCAGGAGTGCGCCTACTACAACTCCAGCTGGGAGAAGGAGCGGACTAACCGCAGCGGCATCGAACCCTGCTATGGCGAGAAAGACAAGAGGCGGCACTGTTTCGCCACATGGAAAAATGTCTCCGGGACTGTGGAGATTGTCAAGCAGGGATGCTGGTTGGATGATGTCAACTGCTATGACAGGTAAGCAGGAAACATTTACGGGGAGGGTAAAAAAGCATTTTAAAGATATGCTGAACAAATATGTGAGTTTTACTGCTTTGGTGTGGTCAGCTGTGTGTTAAACTGCCATTTATTGTGGCTGGACGTGGCTTTAGTTGAAAGGTTGAACATCAAACAACCAATCAACCTTCAATCATCATCCAACCTGCCAATTATTCTCTCTCCCTATCCTCCCTATCCACCCACCAACCAATTGACAATACTACCTACCTAACTACCCAACCAGCTAGCCACCCAATCATTGACACTATCAGTCAAACAAATTACCCTCCTACCAGGCAATCGACCAGACCCCCTACCCACCAACCCACTCTGCATACCAACCAATTATTCCAATAGTTACCTGCCCACTGCCACCCTGGCTTCCTACCTATCAACTAACCACCACATGTAATTACCACTACACCTGTTTATCCGCCCACTTACCTTCTTACATTGCTACCTATCTAGCTTTTCAACCATCACACCTGCCTACCCACTGAATCAACCTATCTATGACACTTGTGTATCCACCTGCCTCCCTCCTTTGTTTCCTTATTATTTCCTTATTATTTTAATATTCATTGCACTTAACTCCAGCTTCCGGTTTGCCTGCCTAATATCTGTCTAACATGAGAAATTAAAGAGGGGGAAAAAAAGCAAAATTTGGGGGTTGTTTTATCTGATAAAATTGAAGTAGGTCACATGACTTTGGTTTAATATTGAGGAAAAAAAACAACCATCTAACTTCCCATTTTGGTTTCAGATAACAGTCTGGCTAAAGTAACAGTCCTCTAGGTTTCCAGTGCAAAAAGGAAACAAAGAAAATTATTTTTGATTACCACATGCACAACATATTACTGGGAAAGCGGAGTGTGTCTTAGTAGGTACTGTGGACTAAATGACCTGCTATAGTCATAGTATAAGCACACAGCAAGAATCATTGATGGGCATGTAGGGCAAATTTGGATTATTTTGAACTGCGAATCATGCATAGCTACTCTAATAGGGTCCAAGAATAAAAATATGGATGTTAGCAGAATAGTCCCACTTTAAGATTTACATTGTTCAAACAGTGCAGTGGTTTCCTAATAACCTTCCCACGCCTGTCTAAAATTTAAATAAAATACAGGACACTGTATAAAAAACACTGATATATACAATAAAGTGGCTTTATAAATAGCAAGCAGAATAGCTCATGAAGTCCAGTTAAAGTAAATAAACTGTAGTTTGATTACATTTCTGTGTATTTACATTTGGGTTTTCGCATCCAGCAGACTCCCTTTAACCTTAAAAACATAAGAAATCTCAGCTGATGATTTTAAGGGAACTTTCTGCTGTCACTAGAAGGTTGCATGGTATAAAATAGTAGTTAAATTCCCATCAGTAAGTAACAGAATACGGAAAATATCAAACTTTAACCAGACATGCGTGCGCTCTAAGAGGGTGAGCTTTTAATGGTGGCAGGGGTTGTTGCTGAGAAGCTGCCCATTAATTTCTGCACTGCCTCTGAATCAGGACAAAAGCAGCAGCCTCAACTCTAAATACATTTAAAATCACCTTGAGCATAATTTGTGCCCCTGTGTGAGATTCCACATCCAAATGGCTGCATTTTAATTACCACGCGCGAGGGAGCCTGAACCACAGCGTGAATTATGCATCCACATCCAGGACGGTAAACAGATGATGATGATAATAAGAGATTATTATAGTTTGTCCCAGAGTAAAGCATCACCCTGGCCGCGGATACCGGTTTGAGCCAGTTCTGTTTTCCTTTTTGATTCCCGAACGATAAAGTTGTTGTCGGATGTGTAGCCCGCACAGTTCGGGGTACCTCTGCTCAGACGGCGCCGCCTCACCTCCCTGGAGAGTCCAGAGCAAATCGAGGGCGGCTGCCACTTCCTTTGGCTTTTATCTGATGGCTGCGTGAGTGTGAGAAGAGAGAGCAAGCGCGATTGTCGGCGTCCATGTTCGCATGTGTAGGAGTTATTTTATAAATGTTTTGTTTCATGTCCTCTGTTGCAGCAGCGAGGGAATGGAAAGCGGTGTTTGTTTGTTGTGTGTGTTTTCTTTTTTTCTTTTTTTTTGCGTAACGTCTCCTGGAGTGAGTGCATGTTCAAAATAGCTCCCATGTCCTTTTGCAGTGCATGGAGAGGATTGAGTGTTTCTGATTTCCACCTCTGTGTCCTCTGCAGTAACGAGTGTGTGGAGAGGAAGGAGAGTCCCGATGTTTTCTTCTGCTGCTGTGAAGGCAACATGTGCAACGAGAGGTTCCTGTACGCCCCTGAAGCGCCCCCGCAGAGCGACCCGCACCATTCGACTGCCTACAGTATGTACAGTCCAGCACGCTCACTGAAAATGACGACTTCTCAGCGGGCGCAAACGCTGTCTTTTAGTCAGAGCTGCAGTTTGTTTGCTAGGCTTGAGCTTAATGCTTTAATATATGTTTAATGAGTTCCTGGAAAGTTGTAAGTTCATGCTATATGCTATTAATCTTTTCTGAGTTACAGGCACTCGAACTGCACAAGGGTTGGTCCATATTTGGCACTGAGCATCAGCCAGAGCTCTTTTCAATGCTTGTTGCTTTTACTCACTTCACTGAACTTTAGAGGGGAGCATCCAGTTGCTGTGTTCAGTGCATTGTCCTCATCTGCCGGTGTACATTCAGATCTTGCTTTGATCCTGAGATATTTTTTTTAGGTTTATGAAAAACGTATTCAGGGCTTGATCCCTGCAATAGGTCCAAACTATTATATACAACATGCGGACATCAATACTTCTCATTATTAGTAATGATGTCTTAATATCTATTATCCATATTGCGGTTGAGATGCCTCTTTGGTTCATCAGTCAGGTGCTCTCCGGTAAGGCGCCACTTGACTTTGCTTTTTTGATTTGAGTGTAGTGATGTGAACATCCTCTATTTTTGTAAAACAACATAAATAGGATGTTCAGTGTTTCTCACACTGTGGGACCAGGAGGAAAATATGGAGTAAAATTAAGTGGAATGGTAGCAATTGGCTGGGTCTTTTTGGAGTGAAAAATCATATTAAGAGTTTTAACTGTCATTTCAATTAAATTCGAGTTGGAACTTTTTTTAAAATGTCACTGAATGCGAGGCAGTCACACAGGCGTAGAGATGAGGCTGTGACTCCCTGGCAACCTCTGGTCACTGAGGTAAAATGTGTATTCCTCCACCAGTTGCCGAGCGGTTGCTGGAGTTTGTTGGTAATCATTACCATGAAATCGATTGTTTTAGTGAATCATCCTATTTGCAATCTTTTGCTTCCTTTGGCTAATAGCAGATCGCTATGATCGCCTATAGTTTGCATGAAAGATCGCCAATTTGTCTCCAACTTCTTGCTGAGCAATAATGAAACTTCAAAATAAAAAAGTGCAATGGAAACAGAACACATAAAAGTGCCTTACTACTTAATGTTTCAAATGGTGCAACTTTTACTTTGAGGTCAGAAGATACCAGCTTCACCACCACTCTGCAAGCAGTTGGCAAGTGTTTGCAGACAAGTCGCCATCTTCTGTGCAAACAACAGGTGACCACCTGCTGCAATCGCAAGGTGGTTAGTGGAGCAGCACCAAGACCAAGTAAAATTGTGTCTGAAAGATGCTGCATAAATAAACTTGGAGAAAAAACAAGGGACCAAATGGCGACAAGCAGACTCCCGCAAACAACTCACCAACTTGTCAGGGAATCTCTTGCAAATGGTTGTTACTGGGGATCATTGACTGGTCTCATAGTCGAGCACAAACATACGAGCGTACTGAGTAATTTGTTATTTTTTAGCAACCTGTGGTGGTGGTCGCCAGCTGATCTCTACGCCTGAGTCAGTGGGGCATTGGAAACACTCAGGCTAACCAAAATGTGGTGATTCACCTTACAATAACTCTGTTAGTGTGTTTCTCCATTCTTTATGCATAATATTTGACTATATTAGAAATGTATTTTGCCCCAGAAGGAATTTTGGCTAGAGAATGAACCTGGTATCAAAATGTAGATAAGAAAAGGAGTCCTTTCATATACTGTAACTTGTTTTGAGCAGCCACCTGTCTCCCATGGTGATATATGACCCTTTGAAGTTCACCCAAAATACACTTTTTGAAGTTTTCTCCAGTGAAAAATCAGAAAACAGATCAAACATCCAGGATCCCAGTCCTTTTTTCCGTTCTCTCCATGTCACAGATATTATATCAGTGCAGTTTTGCTATCAAAGCTGTGAATATATTCCGTTATATCAACTAATCAGCTAATCTCTGATAGAATACCCATAAGTGTTTCGAGGGCCTATGAATTTATAAGTATTCATACTATCGAGGTAAAATATTTTGTGAAAAAGATTAAAGTTATAATACACACATATTAACTGATTGTGAGGTGCTCACGGCTTGGTTTGATTGGTTTTATATTAAAACCCCAACTTATCAACTTCGTACCTCAGTACTTGTTTGGAAGGTTATTTCTAAAGTTATTCCTATCAACTTTGTTTCTATAGCATGGCTCATGAATAAAAAAATATACCTTAAGCAAACAATCAGAAGCACATACAAGTTATTTCTACAATCTGGAGACATCCGGGCTTTTATTTTGAAAGCCTGACCTTGCACAAAGGGTGTGATGTAAGAAATTATGGAGGGCTGCCATCAACTGAGCTTCCTTCCAGGTGTTCAGGGCTGGAATGATGATTAAAAAGTGAATACAGGTTTGAGGGAGGCATGTCTGGGCTTTGTGTGGTTCTCACCTGCACTAAACGAAGCATCGGGAAAAATATTTAAGCGAATATGTGAATCATTTATTTGTAATGAAGTGGAAATATTGCAAAAGATTTCACATCAGTATGTATTCATGGTTCTGAATATCCACTGAGCTTAGTAACTGATATATTATAGAAGAATATAAGATCAATGCATCCCTAAGAACATGATTCAGACTCCTTTTTTAGCCCATTTCAATGCAATGGAATTTATTTTAGGAAACAAAAATGTTAAAAAAAACAATGTGTTTACCTCCTTGAATAGGAATGGAAATGAGACATTAAACTAGCTTACATGTAAAGTCCAGACAGCCTCATAATGTGGGTTAAATGGTGAATGTAAATGCAGCAATGCTGATGATATCAGCGTTAAGTGTAGTGGCTCTGCACAGTAATGAATGTGAAAAAAAAATTGAGCGAAGCATGAGATCAAGTAGGAAATGAAGACTGACCACAGCTGGGGCAGATCTGCGACCTCAGTGCCAGTCCACATCAGCTCACAGCTCAGCTGACACATCTATTGGACAGCGTCATCTTATAACTCGGCTTTAGTCTGCTTTCATTTGCTGCTGCCACTGCCCCTGCAAGCTACTTGGCAAACCCACCTCTGCCCATCTCCACCTTTCATGCTGTATTCACTATCCTGTGAGGGAGTCACGCTGCCGATCTTAGTGGAACTATGCACCAATTGCTATTTTCTTCTCGATAATGACACTCTGAATTAACTGAACATCGGGGCTGCTACGATTTGTCGCCATAATCGACGAAACGGATAATAAAAATTTGTCGATGCAGAATGTTTATTGACAACACGTCGTATTCTAAAACCACATAAGTGTGTTTTATAACCAAAATAAAATTCAAACAGCCCTCCTCCCCACCTCTGCTGCTGCACTTATATTTCCATCAGGTATGCTAAAGCACAGGCCGAACTACCTGCAGTATGTGTCAAAAAGTGTCCTCAGACGTCACCAAGCCCCAGGCAGCCAACCCACTCATTTTTATTTCACAGGAAAAAATCTTTCTTTCTTCATGTTTTTTTTTTTTTTTTTTTAAACTTCCATTGGGTTCTCCGCCTACTGATACCAGCCTGACCCTCACCTTTAAGGCCAGCAGCCTTGTGAGTAATGAAGCTCATCCTTTGGGGTCAAGGCCGGGTCACAACTAAATCCAAATAATCTATTAGTAGAGAAGCTAGCAGACAAAACGGCTACCGATGGAAATCAGAACAGAAATTTGTACGTTTTCCTGTTATTCTTGGCCATTTTGTCAACAAGCATGTTTAACGTGAGTAGATTCAACCCTGCTTCAATAATAAAATGAATAGAAATGATTTCAGACCTCAGACATCTTTTAAACGCAAGAGAAATCTTTAATTTAGGACTGGCAGCAAATTAATCAAACTTTATTTGTATAGCGTTTTTCATGCAGGTTAGTAAAGTTCACAGTCCTTCACTGTAAAGCAGGAAATTAGACAAAACTGGGGGTTATGTGCTATTATGGGTAATTTAATATAAGTTAAAGAGACAAGCGATCAAAGGAATAAATTAATCAATTAGGAGTACAGTATTTATAAGCATATAAATAAAATGAATGAAAAGGATGTACTTATCCCTGAATTTAGTATAACAGGAGGTCAAAGCACATTCAGGTACCGGTGATTAATGCTTCACCAACCAGTGGTGGTTCTGGTGTCCTTGCGCTCATCAGTTTGCAGCTGAAGTGTCTGGCAGGCCCGTCTGTCTCACCCTTTAAATCTGACTTTGTGAAACCTGCAGACTTCCTGTAGAGGAACAACTTTCCACAATGTCCCGACAAACACCCTCAGGGTCCCACAATGCAGCTGGTGCAGTCCTGTCGGCACCTACCCCCTCCCTCACGCCTTTCTTCACTTCCCTGCTCTCAGAGGGCGGCAGCGGCGGGTCGGCGTCCGAGCGTCGGCGTTTTGACAGCGCTGCCGAATCAGACGGCCGCTTTGTGACGGGAGGACAGGCTGAGCGAGCAGGCGTCACCCTGCGCCTCCTGCAGGGTTCGGGCACAGTTCAGAGCTGTTATTTTTGGCAAGCGGATTACGTTATGTCACGAGATGGATTTGCTAATCCTGCTGTGCGTGTGTGTGTTTGTGTGCGCTTATGTGCGCTGATATGATCTCTAAGCACGGTGGCTGTAAGCAGGGTTAGAGCTGCATTTAGAGATGGAGGCCCAGCGTGAGGCCAGCTAGGAAGGCTGTGTACTCTTGTCTTTGTTTGGCTGATCCTGGAGCAGTTTCTTCTGAGAGTTTCAGTCACTGTGGGCTCGTTTCTCTCTGCAATATAAAGTCCTGCACTCTAGTGGAAAGAGAAAAACCAGAGCTTCAAGAGGAAAGAAGTCAGAAATGTCTTTTGTGAAGTATAGCACAATTTAAAAATACTGAAATATAAAATATAATACAGAAACCGATGATACCAGTGTAGGAGAGGAAAAACCTTCACATGTTAAATCATTAAATGTTTAGAACCTCTATAAATCAGGCATTCTTCATGCCGCTCTGCAAATTGACTTCATGGAGATATTTTCTGTGTATGATCAGGAAGACTGCCCCACACTCCTTTCTGTGGCCGTTACCACATTTGTAACCAAGAGGATGTTGGCCGTGTTTTTGTTGTTGTGGCTGGTTTAGGATCCAACAAGCTTGACGTGACTCTGTGCTTTGTGATAGGCGCTTCAATGGAAGGGAGGTCTATCTGAATTGGAGGATCTGATATTATCACCAATAAGAATAAACGTAATCTTAGATTAAATAAATCATTATGACGATCTCCTGAAGTTCAAACTGAGCATCAGAATGGGGAAGGATGATTTAAGTGACTGTGCTGTAATGTGGGATATTTTCATGGAACTCTTTGGACCCCTTAGTACCAACAGAGCATAATTTAAACACCACAAACCTACCTGAGTGTTGTTCCTGACCATGTCTATCCCTTTATGTCTACTGTCTACCATCTTCTGATGGGTAATACACCATGTCACAAAGCTCAGATCATCTCAAACTGGTTTCTTGAACATGACATTGAGTTCACTGTACTCCCAACAGCCTCCACAGTCACCAGATCTCAATCCAGTTAGAGCACATTTAAGATGTGGTGGAACAGCAGATTCTTATCGTCCATGTGCAGTCAACAAATCTGCAGCAACTGTGTCATGCTGTCACATCAAAATCTCTAAACATTGTTTCCAGCTTCTTGTTAAGTATGTACCATGAAGAATTGAAACAGCATTGAAGGCAAAATTGGGTCAACCTGCAATAAAAAGCCTCAGGTGAAAGTATAATTGTCATTTTTTATTAGGTGGGAGGCAGGCAACATGATGGGGTCTTTAACATGTCATATGATGCTTTTCAAGCACTGTGAATAGAAGTTAGATGTTATTATCATGAATAAAAAAGGATGCAATGCTTTTATGAGGTGTTTTGGGTGCTTAAATGCTAGAAATGGGTCATTAAAACTTCACTGGTAGGTGGTTGCTAAGCAACATGATGATTTTATAATATCTGGTATAGATAAGAACCTTCGGGGGCCTGAGATGTACACGTGTGGCAAGTTTGGTTGCTCAATCCCTGATGGTGTATGAGTTGTGAGAGATTCGGTGTTTTTGCATGTCCACTCTTTGAGGCATATCGAGAACTATCAGTTCCAACAGGTTGCAAATAAGTTGAGCAATTCTGTATTATTTTAACGCTCGGGCACGGTTTATCTTACTGCCAGGAACCTGATGAAGGCCACAAGTCGAGACACGTCAGCGAATCAGTGAAGTTGTTCTTTACACACAAAGTGCTGCTGGTGTTTTAACATATTCAGATCTGTCGTGCTCTCCCTGCACTTTGAAAGTAGGTGAGGTTGTGGCAGAAAGCACCACTTTGTCTCTCCTTCAAGTACTCCACTTGTAGACGGAGCCTGTCGTATACAGCGTTAACAGAAACTCACTGATTTTGGAGTTGTACAGGGCACCGCACACCTTAAATTCATCGCACGTTCAATTCAACAATAACAGAACTAGAGATGGCACGATACCACTTTTTTTATGTCTGATACCGATACCGATATCATAAATTTGGATATCTGCCGATACCGATATGAATCCGATATAGTGTTTTTTAATCAGCAAAACTGTTTTTTAAATATCTTGCTGCATTTTGTATAAGTTCATACTCAAGTTTAAAACAACAACTACACTAAAGCTATTCTGTTATACCTGTATGCAAAAAAAATATTTCATAGTTCAGCAATACTGATCAATCTAATAAACTTAAACCTACACCATCCTCCCTATTCTGGTATTTTAAAGAGTACTTAGCATAAATATTAAGCAACCTAACTAATAGGATTCCAACTCCCAGCAACAACAAAAATAAATAAATAAAAAATAGGGAACCACCCCTCACGCTCCACCTCATGATGCTTAATCGACGTAATCAACCTTAATTTGATGCAGTGTGGAAAAAAATGCACAGAAATCAATTATTTTTCAAGAAATATTAAATAGATTCAACATCTTTCCTCAACAAAATTGCAGACTGCACAGATGGTACCTTCCCAAAGGAAAAAGTACTATAGCTTACTAGGGTATATATATTAGACTTAATAGTCACTATATACAGTAATTGACTTCTACTCATTTTACATCAAATTAAAACTTTGGGTGTCAGATAATTATTTATTAAAAGCTCGACATTTTAAATGAGAATAAGAAAGAAAAGTATGTCTTTGTGCCCCCTTTTCCCTGTTAATGCCCTATCAGCCCCCCTGGCTAAACGTTGCTAGATCCGCCCCTGTACAGTTACCAGCGTCAGCTACGTAGAAATAGATCCTCGAGTAGAAAGTAATATTAAATAAATTCTAACAACAGCTGATCAAGCTTAAACGTGCTGCTGTTGTTCAGCCGCTGGTTTCCTCTTTCTGGTGCAAAGTGGGCCAAAAACAAACAAGAGACACGGACTCGCGACAGAAAAGCCGATCAGCTGATCGTTAAGCAGTTTCATGATTGAAGTAGCAGCAAGAAGAGGCAGTCGCTTGTTAAGCTTAACGCAGGAATGCTTTACAAACATTCAGAGATGGACTTACACACTTGCTTTACTTCTCTCGGGATAACTTTGTCGGAGATGAAATGCCGGGTTGCTAGCGAAGCTCCAAATGCTATCCAGACCACCACAGGTCCCGCATGCCACAGCCGCTCTATCACGTGATGCATACTGCTCCGACGTGCTAACGTTCTGAGGTGAGTTATGGTGTGTTGCAAGTTTTGTGAGGTGCTTTCGTGATATTTAATGGATCGGATTACATTTTTTATTTTTCTCCGATATCCGATCCAGTAATTTAGGTCAGTATCGGACCGATACGTAATATCAGATCGGTCCATCTCTAGACAGAACCCTCAGTTTTGCCCTGTTGTCATTTATCTGTTATTTATTTTTTATTTATTCACGATTTTACTGTCCAATTTAAACAACTTAGCAATAGCCAATTTACCAACTCCTATATTCTTTCTATTTATTTCATATGCTGCCTTGAGAGTTTGGTTGAACAAAAATGCACCGTGGCGATCTATTATCATGGCTCCTCACTTCAGCTGAAGTTTGTTTGTCTAGTCGTGCACATTGGTCATTTTTGTAGAACTATTAAAAGAGACGTGTTGAGCAATGAAGTCTTTCTAATATTTCTGCCTCTGTTACACACTGAAGCCTAATTTAGTTGGCTTTTCCTTATGGGACCCTTGGGTCACGCGTAGTTTAAATCCCACTGGGCATTTTGAACATCTAATGCTTGTTTTTACAGCTTGAAATATTAAAAACAAAACCCCAAAAGGTACTAATCTAGCAAAAGAAAGCATGTCCTTTGCATTCCACCTGGAGATTTGTGCTTCAGAAGGTTGAGTGTCGATATTTCACAGCTTTCATTACATATGCAGTATAAAAGGTGGACATAATCACCATGATTTCAGACACTGTTTCAATCACAAAGCTTTAAGATGAGCATTTTCATTGTTACCATCTTGGTGTTGAACATACCAGATAATCCTCCTTTCTAATTCTAATTATGACTATGATTTGTAAAAGTTACCTATATCATTTATTCGCTATGACCTGAAAATGGTGATCAAGTCCATGAGCTCATGAACAATGTGGTTACAAAGCGAGGGAGCTCAGACTGACTTATATAATGTCTGTTTCTCCTCTCACAGCCACCTCCAACCCGTTCTCCCAGAAGCCCCAGCTCTTCAGCACCCTGCTTTACTCACTGGTTCCCATCATAGGCCTGGCCGCGGTCGTCCTCTTCTCCTTCTGGATGTGGAGGCACCACAAACTGGCGTACCCAGCTGCCCTCGTCCCCACACATGTAAGTCCCACCAGAGTCCAGCCCATCACTGCTTTAATCCCGGTTTGTCTCTGTCTTCACGTTTGCTCGTCGCTGTCGTCTGATTTCAGAGGTCACCTGTCAGTCACACAGCGTGGCGAGGCTGCGGTGTCCTCTTTCTTCAAAGTTGCTTGCTGATGCAGTTAGTTTCTCTTTCTGTCTGTTCAGCCTCGGTGACCATCAGGTCTGACTTCCATCTGTTAATTGCAAACAAAGGAGAAATGTAAAACCAGTCAGTTCCTGCATGTCAGAGGATTCGTCCTCTGATACCTGAAAGTTTGGTTAAATTTATTACAAGAGACGTCTGTATGTGGTCTGAGGTTAATATTTATTTCTGACATGACTTCATCAGTTGCTCGCTTTTAAAAAGGTTGTGCATTATTTGAAGTTTGCAGTCAGGTGCAGTGTGCACACTGCCTTCTCTGTTTAACCAACCTTCAGCTTCACCACTGTTCCACTTCCATCAGTGGGCTTCAGCAGCCTTGGCCTCTCCTGCCCTGCGCAGCCGAGGGACGGAGCGATGGTCAGCCAGAGCTGACACACTGTGCTGAGAGTTTACGTCTGGATAATTGCTTTTACAATTTCTTATTTCAGTCCTGTTTAGAAGGATGAGAGGAGCCCTGGTTCTGTCTTTTTCTTTTTCCTGCGGGTCTCTTTTCAGAGCAAACTCATCTCAGACTCGCTTTTAATTCACCACATGAGGAGTCAGGAGATGAGCCGAACTGTATTGTTGAGAGTGTGTCAGACAGGCTTTTAATCACACACAAGTGCGATTAGTCTGATCAAAAAATACCTGTGCCCTTTTTTTGGGGGGTTATTTACAATTAGCCCTGTTCCATATCAGATTATCCCTAGTGAAATTGTCACACTGCAATGTCATTGCTATAGCAATGGTTTACGTTACTTAGTGGACAAAACAATGAAATAAGCCCGGGCATGTCTGAGGAAGAGACTGTGTCACCTTGCGAAGTTTATTTAATACCTGGAAACAGAGATACTTCGACAAACTCGATCAACACACATTACTGTGCAAAATATGCACAAAAACGAAAACAAAACTATTTTTCATTCAGTTCAATTTTATTAATGTAGCGCTAAATGACAACAACAGTCACCTCAGGGTTCTTTACATTGTAAGGTAAAGACCTTAAATAATGTTTCACCACTTGAGTCTATAAAAGACATCATCTCAAGTACACGGTTGGTGATGTGCGAAACAAGTGATGTGTAAACAAGTAAGTCCACCAAGCAAGTGACAGGAAGTGGAAAATGGGTGGGTGTAAGGTACAGATGCAGTTATCTGATGGAAAGGCAGGGCTTTAAACAACTCCACTTAGCCAACTGATGTGTCCATGTCCACGCCAGCAATAAGTATCAATAGAAGGCGGGGCGTCCTTAAAAATTAAATTTAATCACATTAAATGTTAAACACTTAGTTAGGCTAATGGTAGCTGTGCTAGTTGCTAGCGTTAGCGTTTTCTACATCAAAATAAAATAAAACACTAAAATATTTGTTAGCCTGAGAGCTATAAATGAGGGGAAAAGCTGTTACTGTTATTGTGGATTTTAAAGGCAGTTGAGCCACTACCTCTTGTTATTTGTTTAACTTCATTTAAGTGTCTTTTTATACCACATTTGCTTATATTTTGGTTTTCGCATTTTCTTTTGCTAAGTACCGCTAAGTGTACTGACACAATTTCCCGCACAGTGATTACTCTGTTAAGCTATACGTGGCCGAAGGACAAAGAGCTGGTGACTTGCGGTCACTTTGAAAGGAGCCCGTGTGCATGGGCGCCCTGGTCATTTTCTTTTGTTACTGTCTCATTTAGCAATTAATGAACTGCTGAGTGCTGACCCTCAGACACCCTCAGACCATCAGTTATTAATGCGAGCAATTCTGCAGAGTGTGAGGGCGGTGGAGGCACAGTTACCATGGATTACTTTGGTGCTGAAGGAATATGAGCAATTAATAACAACAATAACTAACACGGGTGACAAGCTTACGGCCACATAGCGCTCAGCGAGTCTATGATGCTAGCAGATCATACATGTGTGACAGTTTTTGGGCGCTTCCCTTTGGAATTCTTTCCTGAAATGCTTTAAAACCACACAAAGGATGAAAGTAGAGGGAAATATTTATCATGCTGAGCATGAAATGAAATCACACCCAACACCATCTCCAGTAAGAGCCACAAAAAGATATTTTTAAACAAGATGTCTCCAAATCCGACTCATCTAATCCGCTTCGGGTTTTCTTACAGGCTCCCATGGTTCAGCTTTTGGTTTATTTTTATTTTTTATCACTTTATTGTCATTCAGAATGTAAACTAATTAGTGGACATGAGAACAAAATTTCGGTGCATTTATTAACCATTCGGACTGTACAATATAAATTAATCCAAAGGTATAAATCTAGCAGTGTTAACAGTAAGGAAAACTGCACAAGATCTTAGGAAATATATTTCACAGCACTAATAGCAGAATAAAAACCAGTCTACATTCACTATTTCAGGCCTGCAACTGCACTGCCCTAAATAAACAGTCATGATGTTAGTTGTATAGTCACTGATATGAATGATGAGCGGAGATTTCAGAGGGTTGCAGGAAGTATACCAGGAGTTTTTCCTGAGGATACGTCAGCTTAGCTGATTATATGTGATCCATGTGTCTTCAGACGTCGTCCCGCTGTTTCCTCCTCCGCTGATATCTGCTTCGGTTTGATGGATGTTTGTTTAATGTTGGCGCCAACCCGGAACAAGTCGGCGAGTGGTGCTTTGGTGTGCATGTAATGGTAAATGGCCTGTATTTGTATAGCGCTTTTCTAGTCCCTAAGGACCCCAAAGCGCTTTACACAACCTGTCATCCACCCATTCACACACACATTCACACACTGGTGATGGCAAGCTACAATGTAGCCACAGCCACCCTGGGGCGCACTGACAGAGGCGAGGCTGCCGGACACTGGCGCCACCGGGCCCTCTGACCACCACCAGTAGGCAACGGGTGAAGTGTCTTGCCCAAGGACACAACAACCGAGACTGTCCAAGCTGGGGCTTGAACCGGCAACCTTCCGATTACAAGGCGAACTCCCAACTCTTGAGCCACGATCGCCCCATGTGTGGCTGTTCTGGGGCGTGTTTGACAGTCACACATGGATCAATGTTGCTGATACAGGTAGTCGCTCCCAGAGGAACAAACAAAGAGACGCAGGCGATTATCTACAAATAAATTCAGAATTTTTTGGTGTACTGGTTACCCCTGCATGCCTCTAGCTAGCTTCAAATGTCACCATTTAATATACGCCCTAATGAAATACTAAGACGGTAAATGGATACCTTTTCTTAGTCACCACGCTCATCGTGTTTCCTGATTTAACGCTGTCATAAACCTTTCAGACACCCCACAAATTCTCGCTGTTTTAGGACTGAGAATAAAACCATTTCACCAAATTCCTGATTAATTTAGTTTCTGTGATTCGGAGGCTGTTTCAACCCGACAGCAGCAGCGATGTTCTCGGCTGCTCAGCAGCAGGGGAAAAAGAAAACCCATGCACAGCTTCCACAGTATGGAAGAGAGGAGTCAGGGGCCTCTGCATTATTGATGAGGCTTTATATAGGCAAACAAAACTAAGCAGAGAGAGACGCTCGCAGCTCTGCCTCCGAGGGTGGTGGTGGTGGTGTTGGCGGTGGGTGGGAGAATGGGGAGTGTGGGGGTGGGAGTGAAGAGAGACATGCAGTTCTCTTAACTTGGCTATTGTATCTGCACGGTGCTAAAGCACGGCAGGAAGAGGATAAAAAAGACAGCAACACAATGCAATCTGGATACCAATGGTGATGGAAAAACAACACCGCTAAGAAGCTTATGAAGCATCTTACCTGGGAGCAGATAAATGAATAAATAAACAACAGAAAACAAAACAAGATCAGCACTGGGGGGAAAAGAGTGGATCAGATAACAAAAGATGATACAGAGGGGATTAGAAAAATGCAGCACCTATAAGATTTGTAAAATCAGAGGGGAGTGAAATGAAATAAAATAGCCAGGGTGGAACAAATGGAGTCATGCTGCATGTGTGTAACCCTCTGTGTGCGTGCAGGAGTGCATTATTGCATGAATGAGTAGGTGTGCAAGGACAGGAGAGGGGAAGTAAAAGGAGGTCACTCAACTCAAAAGGAATGTATTTAAAAGTCAGCTAATATGCATTTCTGGAAGAGGGCGATGAAAACTCCACTCGCCCGCTGCGTGAAGGTGGGTAAAACAAACGGGAGGTGCGCTTGCGGTTCCCCTCTGCAGCCGCTTTTGTGTCCGTTGCTTATTTTGCAATTGATTAAACCTGTTTTTTCAATATAGGAGATGGAGAGGAGAGAGGTGGGTGCAGTGGGGAGAGGAGATATGGAGGGATTTATTTCTGCTGCCTTTTTTCTTTTTCGTATGTGTGTGGTGCTGTTGATGTTTTTCAGTTACACCACGGGCGCCGCTTTAAAAAATAAAAGCAGAGGTGACTCCGACAATCACTCAAACAGCCTGCAAAGTCATCAAGGACGGCTGCTAGCAATTCAGTTGTTGAAGGGGACAAAAAAACACCACAGACACCCTCTGTTACAACAGAGGTTACTCATTTAGGACGTGCAACACCTGCTCGATGAAGTGAGGCATTTAAAGGTGTCCTGTCTGCTTGTTAAGTGACGACATATCAACCCTGTTTCCGGGTCCACCTGTCTTCTGTGTTTGACGATGAGCCTCTTGTCTTTTAACCTGCTTTCCCTTTTAATTGTAACGAGTCCCACAAAACTGTTGAGGGATCTGTTTCAGAAAAGAATCGCTCACATGGCCCCAACTATGCCGCTACATAGTATCTTTATTTTTCTCGACATATATTTGCGCCTCTCTGAAATTAAGATCATCCCTGCTATACTGTGTTTACAGTAGCTAACCATAGCTCTGTAGATAGCCACCAGGTAGTAGCTAGTCGTTAGCTAGCC